TACCAAAAAGTATGAATTTTGATATATTTATTATTTTTTTTTATAAAAAAATAAACCTTAACTTTTCAACAAAGAAAATGAAGTGAGTTTTTTTCGAAAAAAAAAATTCGTTTTTTATATATCATCATGGATCTCTATGGAAAGAGGACGGAAATCGTGAACAACAGTATATTCAGTTTTTTTTTTTTCGATAAAAAACATGGCCTAAAAAAAAATTTAAACAAAAAAAAGGAAATGAGTTTTGTTATAATCCGGTGCATGTGCATCCATTGTAAAAGTCTACAATTCTTTCTTTTACCGTTGATCGCTTTAAATTTTGACGCTTTTGATTGGTTCCTTGGTTCTTTGATTAATAATGGTTATCTATTGAACTTATATATATATATATATATATATATATATATAATAATAAAATCAATTAAAAAGTAATTAATAAGGGCATAATAGTCTTTTTAAATCAAAGAAGGACCACACGTGCAACAAAAATAAACAATAAATATATTACTAGCTAAAAAATAAATTAGGGACCAAATATATAAATTATCTTAAACCATTGGGACCATTCATGTAATTTACTCTATTATAAACAAGTAATGACAATGACATATGTTAGTTGTTTAAAGATGTGATAGGTAAATTTTTAGTCACCCATTAATCTTCAAAGCTCCAGGTGTTAAAAGGCCATCAAACTTCAATTTAGTTTCATTGACTTTGTACAGACTAATCATGTAAAACTTACACCATTTAAAAAAAAAGATGGTCCTAAGACCCACCTTCACCCAAGGTAGATGCACCACTGATTCTAGAGTACTGTTCCATAATCATAATAATAAGTTATTTCTATTGACATTGTTTCTTCCATTTGAGAAGATTTGTATATCTAGACCACATACACCTTTGTGTTACTTAAAAAATAAGTTCACATAGTCATATACACCTTTGTGTTACTGAAAAAATAGTCAGTATTTTAAGGTTACTATTTGCCCTAGATGACAAAATTAGGATTCCCTGAAAAGCACACTCGTTTTGGGGTAGGCTGCTGTGTATAATCCCGTCGATGCTCACATTTTAAATCCTATACAACGATATAATCCCTACTCTCAGATTCAGAAATGAATGTCTTCACCTAATCCATACTCTCGAATCAAGAATAAATGATTATATATAATCCATACTCTCGGATCAGGAATAAATGACTATGTCTAATCCATTCTCTCGGATCAGTAACAAATGACTATACCCAATCCATACTCTCGGATCACGGGAAAATTACTATGCCTAGTCCACTTGGACCAGGGATGACAGAATTCTACTCTCCATTCATGTCTTGCATGTACTCATACTAAGATGCTACCCATTGTTCAACTTAATTAAACTTAAGCATCTTTTGCAAGTCTTATATTATCTCTTGGTAAGACTGTAATGCTCAACTCATAATACCAACTTTGTTCAGACAACACTATCCTACTTCAGTGTATATTGAGTATTTAGGTTTTAACAAACTTTTATCCTTCTCTCTAATGATACTTGTATTGTTAATATCATGAAATAATAGATACATATCTTAACACATATAGAACCATACTTGGTTCGCATATCATATATTATCAAATACGTTCTTAACACATATTCCAAGCATTAAGAATATATCTCACATATAAACTCTTTAACAAATATTTAATACTTTAATTAATACTTGTATTAAAATCATGTTCATGAAAGGGACTATGCACTCACTTGATAAGAGTGGATGCATCAGAATTTGGGCATAACTTCTCCTTGGTACTTTATCTTTTCCTTTGACGTGACATGGGTACGAATATCACTAAGTCTTAGTCTTACATTGTTGGCGACTAATGATGGTCTAGATTCCTCATTAATCCCAATGTCTACATCAAGATCTATCAAGTAAGGAACAACCATGTATGATCATATTGGAGGTAGGGTCTGTTTGGTATGAAAATCCTCGTAAATAGATCAATCAGTATGATGATTTGAAATCACTGATAAATCTTATTTATAGGTTCATAATAATGACTTATGACTATAAATATAAGTTACATTGAAAGCAAAAGAGTGCAACTTAACTTACAGAGGTTTCTTAGATAAAAGTACGGAAATTGCAGGGGCAGGGCTTCTACTTGATAGCTACTACTTGTAGGTCACTTAGGGACCTCAGGGCTTCGCCGAAACCTAAGACTAAGGAAATTTGGGCTAAAGCTGCAGAGAGAATTCGAGATAGAAGTTGTAGGGGTGTGAGGATGGAATCATATACGGAAGCGAGTATTTATAGCCGAAAAAAGATATGCGCGCCGCACAAATGGTCAGAAGGGGTGACGTGGCAGCTTCTGGGTGGTGCAGTTGGTGGAGTGTTAGTGTGCGCGGCTGCACGCGAAAATTTCTAATTTCTTAGAAAATTCATATCTTCTTCACACGAGCTCCGTTTTTTACGGATTTTATATCCACGTGTAGCTATCGACGAGATCTACAAGTTCATTTAGACTCCATTGACTAGTTTTAATTTTATTTTTAAAGTTATATTTTTTAATAGGCTTAGACTGTTAAAGTCAGTTAAAAATTCATAACTCTGTCATCCGACGTCTGTTCTTGACTGTCTTTATATTGACAGAATCATATCAACGAGATCTTCGACTCTCGTTTAGATTGTTTCTCCTAATGATCGACTGATTTTAATTTATGTTTCTGAGTCGTATATTGCTACGCCAAAACTTCGAAAAATCATAACTTCCTCTAATGAAGTCAGATTTGGACGTTTTTTTTACGTACACGCTCTCGGTTTAATAAAGGCTACGAATTTTTGTTTAGATCTCTTAGGCTAAAAATTAATTCTTCAAAAATTCATTTTTTACGATACATAGAGTCGTACCGGTTTTAATCGTGAAACTTCGAAGAAGCATAACTTCTTAATACCAAGTTGGATTTCAGCGTTCTTTATATGTAGAGAATCCTTGTCACATATACTATAACTTTGGTTAAGATTATTTATCTTAAACAACCTCCTATAAAAAAGTCATTTTTAATCGTTTAATATCTCTTAATTGACTAACTCGAATTTGCGGGTGTTACAACTGCAACCTATCCCTACAACCCAATTCAGGTTTACGTGTCGAAGTGACAATTGCATCCTATATACCATTATGCTTCAAAATTATTAAAATATGCATATTGTTCCGAATTAGAATTATGTGTGTTCCGGACTCGTTATGATGTAAAATTATTGTAATTAACATACTATTCCCTACTAGAACTTTGTGTGCTTCGAACTCGTTCCAAATGAATTCTTAGTGTTCCAGACTAGTTATACAGATTCCAGATTAGGTCTTCGTATTCCGAACACAATTAACACGATGCAGAGACGTTTTTCTTTGTATTGTTTCGATCCTATTAAACATACTACTCACACTACAAGCCAAAATAACACCAACATTTACTTCAAATGAAATATGACATCTAAAAAAGTACTAGCAACAAACAACATCATGGAATAAAAATATTCCAAAAATGGAATAATATGCTTAAAATAATGATACATACCTTCATATGGGTGTGTATGAGTCGGTTTGGTTCGGTTATTGGTCAAAACCAAACCATAACCATTACAATTGGTTAATGTTTATTGATAGCCATTGGGTAGCGGTTAATATTGATTTTGGTTAACAATTTTAGTCGATTAATGGTTAACATCGGTTAACCATAATGATCCAAGATTACATAAAAATAAAAATATTTTTCTATAAAAAAAAGAAAACATAAAGTTCATTGTTATAAAAAGTGAATGATTGTTTATATATAATTATATTGATAGAACTTATCCTATCTAATTCCAAATATCTACTCTTTAAATTTTCAATTCCCAATATAATTACATACCATATATCTAGTATTAGATTATATTAAAAATATTTATTAATATTAATGGTACAATTCGGTTTATAGTGGTTCAATTTTAGATGAAAACCATAACCGAACTATATGTATTTGGTTAAGCTAAATTAGAAACTACGCCATATCTTTTAGTAATGTTTTGGTTAAAATGGTTTGGTTAATTTGGTTATGGTTCGGTTTTTTGGTTAATATGTTCACCCCTATACCCTCAAAACTTCGAGTTCTTTACCATTAGAACTTAGAGCATCCACAATGCATACTTCAATGGAAAAGTTGAATGAGGTGGCATGCCTAATTGACATTCAATGAATTAAACTCTACCATTATGGGATGTCATGTTGACATTCAATGGATATGAAGTTTAATGGCCATTGAACTCTTCAATGAGAAAAATGAAACCTTTTAACTATTAAATATATATTTCATTGAACTCTATTGAGTTCAATGCATTGTAGGAAAATTAATGTAGACTTGTATAGGAAGTAAAATGATGATGTGTCAATCCATTAAACTCTAATAAATTTAATGCATTGTGGATGCCCTTATAAGACATTTTTCTTCAGAAATTTGAACTTGAAATGTCCGACACAAAGAGCCCCTAAAGTCCTAAAAACTAAACCCTAAAACATATGAACTAAAAGATATTAAAAGCATATTTTGGATCTTAAACAATGTTATTTAGAACAAAAGCTTGAAGTATCTACTTCCGAAGATGTTTTTCCAAGAAAAAAACTTTCAAAAAAAAGAAACTAATGACAAAGGTATTTTGCCATTTTAGCCATCTTAATGTAGATCATATCATATTAAAAAGTGAATTACCTTCTTCGAAGTTATTAAATTGTTAAGAACTTTTTATTACGGCAAAGAGAAATGAGATGTCATTTGCATACATTATCTTAATCTAAAGTAAATAAATATTGTTTTTTTTTCCTTCTCCGTTACCTAAAATTCATATTCAACCAACACCTAGTGCTTGTTTCCTTTTATGTGTCATATGGTTTTCCCTCCAAATACATATAAAATATACTTGTACCTACTGCAATAAAAACGGTACCCTACACTTTCCATTGGAAATCATTATTCAACAAAACAAAGCACCACCACCAAACCTTTTTATTAAATCAAGAAAGAACCCCCCAACAAAACCATTGGTTGTATATTCCTAACTCTTTTTACACTAAATGTACAAACCCCTAAATCACTCACTCATCTTCAATAAAATATTGAAGGACCAACGTACAATCCATAATAGCACATATAACACACTACAAACAAATGTATACCCAAAACCTATCTACAAAAAACCCGAAACACATCATTGTCAAAACCGAAGGATCTCGATGCACCATTGTCGTTTTTTATGATACTATCAGCATAAATAAGTTATCAGTTGGCTGCTATCTGTGTCCTTGCTGTTCGTCTGATGGATTCGAAGCAAACAAGGACACAGTAATAGCAGCCAGGTTTTTTTTCGTCGGACGAGAACGAGAAACCCTAGATTGTTTTGGAGCATTTGGAGCTTCAATTTCGTCAAAATCTCTTGATGGGAATTCCTCTAGATTCAATGAACACCTAAAAGCTGGGATCTTTTTAGGTGTACTATATTCAAAATGCAATTTTTTTGCAATCACAGCCTGCATTTTGTATAAAAAGAAATTAGCAACACTTTTTTGATTTTTGTTGCAAAAAATATTATAAATCATAAAATAAACAACTTACAGCTTCTCGGATCGGTTTTGATACGTGGAAAAGCCTCTTCAAATCATCATGATCCACCCCACACAATATCTTTATCTGTTCAAAATTTAGAAGTCACAAAATCAATAAAAGTTCACACACTAACACTATAACTGTGTGTAAAAAAACCGATCATGTTAACAAATTATAATCTATTTTCTTCACACTTTCATCAAAAAGATGATCAATTTGCATTAAATTTAAAAAAAATTCACATACAGGTAGCATAAATGTGTGAAAAAACAGAGTACACGGTTCATTCTTGAAAATTATACTGTTTTTTTTCACATTTTTATAAAAAAGATGATTAATTTGCAACAAATCAACAGAATTTCATATACATACATCATTAATGTGGTAAAAACAACCGTTTTGCTGATCAAACCATCTCTTTTTCGTTGCAGAATCAATCATTCTTATGATTTATACTGAATGTTATTTACATTTTAATCAAAAAGATGACTAATTTGCAACAGAAAGCTTCTAAATTGATCAAGAAACTGCACAAACGGATTGAAATTTCAGAACTCACCAAGATTTCTTGAGGCAGAGCTTCAAGCAACGATCTTTCACACCAAAAGAGAGATTCACTTCCCAAAAACTGCTTCTTTTTGGGTGTAGCAACTTCAATTGAATCAAAATCCATATGATTCAAAATCAAGATTCTTTTTCTACCAAATGAACTCGTACGTCTTACAAGCCCTAACCCTTGATTGTTCACCATTGACATTTGGTTCCTGATATTACCATCATATAAAATTAGTCAAAATAAACAAAACCCAGATCGAGTATACCAAAAAGAACAGAAACCCGGATGTGGGTTGAACAGAAATGATGAAATTAAGTACCTTTTTGGATTGGGAAATAAACCCTAATTTCTTGGAAGGAGTAAAGTGGGATTGATATAACGGTTGTTCTTGAGAAGGAAACAAGAGCAGATTTTGTATATGGAAGCTATATATCGTGGTAGTGTTCGATTCTAAATTGGAAGTTGTTTATATAGTGAGAGAGAGAGAGAGAGAGAGAGAGAGATTGGGTTTGTTTTTGTATTTAATTTTAAAATTTTAAAATTTTAAGGGATAGTGTCCACTTGAAATCAACTTTTAAACTCCTATATTTCCTCGAAAGCACTCGAAGTTTCCGATATTTCAGTTTTTTGTATGTTTTTTATTCAAAAGCTTCGAGTTATAAGCATATACGTATTAATAATTTAATATAAAAATTGTGTTAATATAAAGAAAAAGGGTGTATATATGTAAAACATTATTAAGATTATATGATTAAATCAGAGCATTAAACTACATAATTTACTATTTTAAACACAACTATCAATTGATGGAGTATAATAGCATATAACACAAACACATGTGACATATATCAAATTACAAAATTCATACTACCACATCAAAACGATAGTAGAGCCACAATTTTATGCAACATGTCATGTATGTATGCATAAAATTAATCAGTTGGATTTATTTAGTTACAAAAAAGTATCCAAGTGGGTAATTATTGTTGTAGTAAATATTTGTAACTCGTAAGTGGTAAGTTTAACTTGTTCTAAAGACAGTATATCAATTTATTGAAACTCTTGTTTTAAACAAAAAAAAAAGGCCAAAGTATTAATTAATTAAATGAAAAATGGTCACATGTGGGAAGATTGAACTAGCCGTTGCCGGGGGCGGCGACACGGTTTTAAGAAAATTTTGTGGCAGGAGACAACGTGGATGGATGGTGGCGCTGACGTGCCTGATTTGGTTGACCACTATTTAGATTTGATATTAATCCAATATAAACTGCTAATAAATTAACTATTATTATATTTACTTTTAACCATTTAAACTTAAAAAGTTATATATAAAACTAGAACGAAATTTATGATTATAGTAATAGCATCTAGAGATTGAGTCAATGTCAAATATTTTTACATCTCTATTTACATTATGATTGATAATTAGTTATTAATATTTGTTAATAAACTTTATATATTTAAGTAACTGAAAATCTAAAAGAATTATATATACTTTTAAGTTTTAATTGCGTAGAGAAGTGGGTGGGGTAGGTTACCATACGTGTATATCCAATGAGGAATCTCCAAGTGGATGGGGTTTTACAAAACAAAGTGGTCGACCGCATGACAAATATTTGCTTATTTTATGCATTTTACAAGAATAACTTTAGATCTGTTTTATTATTTTGTATAAGTTCTTTTAGATGGATAAGAGAATATATATGGATGTGTGTTTTGAAAGTTTGTGATAGTATACAATAATTATTATTCATGACGTTGAGTAGTTTGCATAGTTATATCGAAGGTCAAAGACGCTTAGACAAATTATGTAACCAAAATGAAAACAAAATAATGTTTATGTAAAACAAAAGCATACATTCAAATTAATTTAGAAACTATTATTAATCTCATATAACCTAATTAAAATCGAGATTACAATAAAAAATATTGATATAAAACAAAATCACACATTCCTTATTTAGTTCTTGATCTTCGAATTGACAATTAAATTCTCCAAATGTCGTACACTACAATATATAATGTTTTGGGGCTAATAAAACCATTTTCTTAAACGAAAAATATCAGCTAAATAGAAAGATAATATCGATACATAGCATAGACTAAAATTTTGGGCCCTTGTGAGAAATGAGCCCTAGACATTCGCAAATGTTACCCACCATCTCAGACGTGCCTGAGGAAACCCAAATGCATGTATTATGTATTATCTCTATAAGTTGTTCCTAGGAAAGATTATGGTTCTCGGGTATCCAATCAATTAATCCCCCAAACTTTATACACACAGTTACATTTAAAATGGATAAGTGTCGTAAATGATAGTTTTAGAATAATCTAACCTAGTTCCATGTTTATGATAACATGAACTAGTAGTTACCGAGCAATCGGTGGTACCTATTGATCATCGTCAATAATTACTACATCAATAGCCCTTGATTTGTAACCATGTTGATTCTACAATGTTTAGTAAAAATAAGTAGTTATCATATCAATAACTTCTATCAGTATCGTTATTTATGTCTATCATTTCCGTTGTACTTTGTATTCTTAAAATACATGTATGTTTTAGTGTGTTGCCCTTACTCCACAAGGAGATGTGGCTTTCATGATCCTGCCATTCGTCATGTTTGAGGTCAAACTAGCCCACATGTGTGTGCCATGTGCTCCTTCTAACATGTACATGTACTTTGAGCTTAACTAATGATCTCATTTGGTGTTTGTGTAAATTTATAATGTTATGGGGAGTGTTGTGGAGTTTCAGGAATGCTTTGATTTTCGGTAATGACAAGTATAAGAAGGAAACCATTTTTATTCTATCGTTGAGTTGTTGTCGTTCATTTCTTCATTTTTTTTCTCATAAAATTTTAAAAATCATCGTAACAAGAAATAAAATGATACAACATTTAAAACCCAAATAAAATTACATGCAAATTCACTGTCATAACTAATAAAATGAGGAATTGCAAAAAGCTACACTTGACATCTCACCTTATCATTTAACCAGAAACTATGAAATAATACAAACAAATCAATAAACATTACACTTTTGTAGAGTTGCGTTGTAAAGGCATGCATTAAGCTATTGTTCTGTTCACTTTTTTTTGTGGCTTACAAATACTTAATGGACAGCTCAAGTATACATAATACAATTAGTTATTATTATTATTGAACATTCTTAACCACAATAATGGAGTGGATTTAATTTATTTTGGTTTTTTATGTCGTTACTTGAAGGCTTTAGTAGCCAGCCATGAATCATGATAGATATATAATTTCGTATATATTAAACAAGTGGGTTAGATGCTTCACTAAATAATTAGTGGAGAACATCGTTTATCCCTAATCATTGTCTCTGTTGATCTAACAAGCACATATTTACTTTCACGTATAAGAAGATTATACGGAAAATTTCCATGGTTTTTTCAAAACAGTTATTTTTGTTTGAAATATATAGATTTATTTTCTTTTAATAGCAGTTGGTGTCTTTCATGAAGCAGTCAACCTACAAGGGATATTTACATATTATCATAGTAACTGTACAAATATGATATGATATAAGTGGTACCCCATCTTACACTGTTACTTGATGGAAGTAATTGTAAGTATTTATATGTGACAAACTGATTTTCTGACTTTTTCGGTGTTTGAATCGATAAGAAAATGAATGAGACAAAATTGATTTCTGAAAATTAATCAACATTAAACCCAACTTTTAACTGGTTCTTATCACTTTAAGCTCAATTTTTTTGCTATAAATGATATACTAACATTTTGTTATAGTTGCTAACACAATTATGCAACCATATAAGCTCTGATTATCGACTTAGACATTGATTTCAAGTCACATACTACAATTAGCTTTCACAAATCAACATGCATACACTAATACATGTACATACATACATACATATATATATTTAATGCGGATATGATAGTACCCAAACAAACATTAAAAGAGGTAAATTGGTTGACCAGCGTAGAAATTGATGTTCTAGTTGGCAAGTTGTTGACCTATTCATAATATTCAGCTAACACTTAAAATATTGTCCACGTCATCTTTGTATAATTAACATTCTCACCGTCAAACTCAAACCTCTCAGATCCAAGAGTATATTAATTAATTTAAACAATTTATAAAGTATAAACCACATGTATATCACATTTGATGTGCTTTAAATTATGACCTCACGTTTAATATTCGGTTTATTCATTGTATGGCTCACAAATAGAGACACCCCACACTCAGATGGTATTTTAATAATTTTTTCTTATGAAAGTATCTGAAAAATAAATAAATATAAAGTGTAAGCCTAACAAAATAAGCATTGGAAAAACGTATAATTTTTTTTCAAAGTTGACATGCATGTAGTTAATTATTCACTGCATTTAGTTGTTGGGTAAATATATGTTATATACAATATGAAAATTTGTACATTAAGTAGGTATGTTTGTAGATAGTAATAATTGCGATTTTAATAATTTACCATCAACTTTAAATGTCCCCAAGTAAAAAATTATATCGAAAATTACAAATGTGGTTTATAGTCTAGAGACCTTTAAAGATATTATAAAAGATTCATCAAAAATACCTATATTAGACTGTCCTTAATAAAAACCAACTGCTTCTTATTCACCTCTTCACCACTTCACCACTAACATTACTGAAATTAAACAGTTATCAAATATCTTCACAATTATCTTATATTGACAACAACCAAATCTAATATGAAGAGTGTCTAGAACTTTTGGAATCAAAGTTACAATATAAAAATTACATCATACTAGAAGCACTATCTCGGGTCGCATGTAATTCAGAATTTACCAAATCATCAAACCCCTCAAAATTAAACAAATAATTGAATAATTTAAATGATATCGGTCCATATTCAATAGCCATTTCTTTTCGTTACAATGGACAATGATCATACCATCTTTTCTAATTATGCCACTTTGTTACACCTGACAAATTAAGACACAACAAAACAGGTTGTACATGGATATTGTACCGGATAGATTCGATGATGTCAACGGAAAAATAATTATAACTACTTGATTCAATCCAAAAAGATGAGACAAGAACTTGCACAGTTGCACTCAATTTAGGGGTGTCAAATTGGGACCCACATTATGAGTTTTCTTGATCAAGTTGACCATTTGAGTCTCCAAGGTTTGTGTTTTCAGCATAATCCTCAGCTGAATACACCGAGAAACCCCAAACTGAAGCACAATTCTCGTCATCTACAAACAAGCAAACCAGCAATTAACAACATTCTTAATATAATGAAGAGAGGTGGGACCCGATAGGAACCACAAATATAGAAAAAAAAAAAGCGTTATAAAATAAATACCTCGTAAAGTCAAACTCAATTCTTCATCAGACTCGTCAAGACCTACAAATCTCCGGTGCCCTGATGACGTGGCAGCCATTGGCAAAAACGGATGGAAAGAAAAACCACTAACAGTATCTGCATCAAAAACATATAATTAAGTTCTGTCTGTATTAAGTGTTATCTGGATAAATAATGTTTTAATTTTTTTTTTTTTTGAGAAAAGTAGTACCTGATGCAGCTTGAAAGCTGGATACCCATTGACCCGTTTGAAGATCATATATATGTACCAAACCATCCTAGAATTACAATATTTTTTTATATAATATAATTATATTCTGAAAAGCGTTATAAAATGAAAATGAAATTTAATCATAAAAATATAAAAATTACCTGTCCACCAGTACCAAGATATCGACCGTATGGCTCTGTGTCAAACTGTATCCGTTGATTGGTGGACTCTGATGATCTATATAACCTAAATTAAAAAAAATAAAATAAATTATTATTCAGAAAACACTTTATCCATACAGACAACACTTAAAGAGAATAAAAGACAAGGCGTTATTACTTGTATACAATTTCAACTGTATTGCGTATATCCCAACAAAGTATATATGGATCCTACAAAAAAAAAAAAAAAACAATTACTTTAATAAAATTACCTAATTAAAAAATAAATAGAAATTTAATTGCATTAAAATGGTCAAAAAGGGTACGTTAGATGTAGACAACATCATATTCATACCTTTCGTCCCCCTGTGTAAAGATAGTTCCCATCTTTGGAGAATTGAACCTGAGTGTAAAATGGTCATTTTTTTAACCATGATCAGATATAAATATGCATATATTTAGCTGGCCTACTTACATGTGTAACCCCTCCATCTTGACCATGTAGGACATATAAGAGTTCCATATTGTCTTCTCTATGTATTGCTGTAGTTTGACTATAAGACCCTGTAGCAAGCATCCCTGTATGACTTGGAGAAAAGGCAATTGATGATATGATACCTGAGTGCAAGGAAGAAAGTTCATATTATTAGTGAAATACCCAAAATACCCTTGTAGTTAACCACACCAACCTGATTGTCCTTCCTTGTTTCCTTGGATGGTTGAATGTTGTTGGAAATCTCTACCAGGGCGATGAATATCAAATATCCTGATGGATTTGTTGTAGCCAGCAAATATCCTGAATCAAATAAGTTAATATTTATATAGCAACATACTTTCTTTTTTATGTTTATTATAGCATCATACTTTCATTTCTTTTTCTTACTAAGAAATTGTACTTTGAAAAGTCTGACCAATTATGGCATTGTGGATTTTTTAAGTACAATGTTGTAACAGAAAGAAAGGAATGTAGGATTCTATGATAAACAAATAAAATAAAGATGAAAGAAAATGTGTTGTAGTCCTTCAAAATAGTATAAGCTTACTTTGTTCCTGAGGGGTTGAAACCAATTGAGAAGGCAGCAGTTATTTCATCCATGGCATCATATGCTCGATATGTGCAACGTAGCTGTAATTCCATGTTGGATGAAGTGTTAATAAATTAATACCACAATTATTATCCATGACATGAATAATAATAATGACTAATATAAAGATTCAGTGATATAAGTCAAGACCAAAACACCTGTCCTGTGCTAGTATCCCAAAGATGAATAGGATGATCCCGAGTGGTGGTTGCAAACACACAAGAGACTGGATCTACAATACAATCAGAGTAACATAATTCTTGTTAACAGCTGATTTAAATGCCAAGTATCTTTGGATAATCTACTAATAATGAAAGAAAAAGGATATCAACAAAAAAGAACCTGAAGCAGACATGTAAGGGTACCAACAGTAATCATATATGGCTTCTCCCTCAGTCAAAGCAAGGCTTGCAGGAAATGAATCTGCAAATCAGAAGTGTGATGAGAAGATAAATTAATAAAGGTTTAGTTTTAGTTGTCTGATAAAAAGAAACCTAACCTTCAATAGCAGCTGAAGAACAAGCCTTTTCATCTGTACAGTTGTCATAATCTGGTCTGTAAAAGAAAAAAAGAGAATGATTCCAATTGTATACAGATCATTCAACCTTTGGAAAACACTTGCAGCTTCTAATTCAGAAAGCACAAAAACAACGTAAATGGTAGAATTGATAATAGAAGTTGCTTACAATGTGAATAAACTAAGAGTATTTTCATCAGAGCTCGTCAGAAAGCACGAACCATCAGGCGACCTACAGAAGCAACGCACATTAATCACCATAAGCAACGCATAAACACTGGACAGTGATACGATTGAAATGAAAATATCCACTGTATCAACTCTATCTTGGGCATTAAACTCCAATTTGGTAACAATAGATGGCAATTTTACCATTTAACGCCCTTGAGGAAGTTATTAGGGTTAGACGAGGCTCGGAAATGTCTGGAAAAATGGTAGGTTTTGTGTGGAGGAATATCAAAACGAATCGCCGGCGGCCAAGAGGAATAGTCAGACTGATCGTCGGTCGTCGGTTGTTCTTCCATGACTTCTCCGGCTTCAAGTTCGACGCTTTCTTGTTCCTGCTCCCCCATTTTACTGAATCCGCCGGAGAAGGAAGCGGTAACTACTCTAGAGTGAGTTGTTAATTTAAGAGTGCCCGCCAAAACGTACAAAAGAGCTGCTCTAATGCTAATGGTTAGTGGTAGGGTTGTTCAAGTTACAAACCTAAATATAATGTTTACAAATATATTTATGGATTTTTTTTTTTCGTAAGTCCCACAAATATATCATTATATTTGTTTTCATATCACTTTACATTTATAATATATCTTCATTACTTTATCAACTACTATCTATGTTATATTAAAATTCAAAGTAGTAACTTGCAATGGAATAAAGGATTATGATCCATGGGATGTCTTAGTTGATTCGAACATAGGAAAGATACTTGTAGATTGCATGATTATGTGACAATTTTCTGTTTGATTAGATTGTTGGAATTTATTCATTTGAGAGAATCAAAACATAAATTGCATCTTGCATAAAATGTTTTACTATTCTACTTGTTGCATTTTATTCTACTTAATTATTTATAAATTGATAAAATATGTAAAAAATGTGAAAAAAAAAAGCCAAAAAAGAACATATGGACAGAGAGTAAACCTTGGTTGATGGCATTGAACATTGACTGTGAAGAAAAATCTAAGTTTGGACTGGATGCATATTATAATAGTGATATTGTGATATGTCATAATATGAAATAACTAGAATAGAGAATGAGTAAATATGTAAGTTTATTTATAAAGTCTGATAACAAGTTTCAAGTGGCATGATTAATGAACAGTTGAACACCACTATGTCTATACATGCCACCACCTCGTTGTAAAAGTCCAAATTACATTTATTTTTCGAAATTGATAATCCCAAATCAGTACATATTTGTATATTAATATCATGAGTTTATGCTCAACCAATTTTCAAACACCATAAAAATTGAGGTCACAAATGACTATTTTGGCCATGTGCAATGCTTTTGAAATACATTTCATCTTTGTACTTGGCATATAAAGGAAGTTCAAGTGCATTCTCGGCTCTTTTACCATCTTCATGTATCTTTGCAATTAAGCTTTCAAGCGATGGGAAGTTTGCCTGCCATCATTCCATCAGTATCAGTATCAATATCAATATCAGTGTATCAGTAACAGAGTAACAAGATGAATTTAGGAGAGTACCTCGGGCCGGATATAGCCAACAACAAGAAGATGTAACTCTTCACCATAGAAATCTTTATCAAACTTATGAAGCAACCATGGCTCCTAAATTTACAAATAAAAAGGGTTAGAAACCGATTGTTTCAAGATTTAACTACGTTTTTATAAAGTTTCCAAATTGCCCTTACAATTGTCTTCTCAGTGTTATTAAAATACGGGTTCCAACCAATGCTCATAACCATCTTGTAAAAACCATGGTTTGATAATTTGGCCCAACCAAAATATACACCCGCAGGATTTTCAGAAAGGACAGTTGCATACCCTTCTACTGATAAATTAGCTGAAAAACAATAAACATAATTGATTAACCCTAAAAAAAACTGACCAGGGGTAAGCATGGAAATACCAAGGGTAAACTTGGAAACCTGTTGGTATTCCAAGCACCTTCGAGCCACGGCCATAACCCTTGATGACAGGACCACCAATATACCAAGGTTCTAAGGGTAAAGTACCATCTATCCCTGAAATTTTGAAAAAAAAATTAAATTATTGAAAAATGTGTGAAATATAAGTGAAGTTTAATGGAATATGGATTAAATTAGTGAGAGAAATTTACAATCTTCAAATGGGGGTAGGCCCCACTTTTCAGGATGTAGGTCAAGAAGTGAAGTGATCACCTCGTCAGCATCAGTGTAAAGATGTGACTGCTTTGGAAGTGATGGTACAGCCACCACCTCCATATTAGCAGCTTTAGCAGCTGCAATACCTGGTCTGATATGACATGACATAACAAAACAGATTAGAACAAATTGTACTGTGTTTGACATATATTGGGTGTTTGACATATATTGGGACAGGGACTTTGCCCTCGGTCTCTTGTCTGTGTAAAAGACAAAAATGCCATTGTTGTCTTCATCATCGAAAATAGCCGCTAGTCAAGTTATTTAAAGAAGAGCAAACTCACAGTGAATCTTCAATGACAAGACATTTAGAAGGATCAATGTTTAGCCTCTTACTTGCTTCCAAGAATCTGAAAATGAAAATTATGTAAAAAGTCATCTCATTTAAATCTTAAACCGAAAAAAAAAAAAAAGTCAACATGTTTTGTCTCACATTTCAGGAGATGGTTTTCCTGCTTTCACTTCATCACCAGCAACAATTGCTGCAAAGGATTCTTTCCAAGCTGCATAGATAAACACTTAAACTAGTAAGAGAACAATTTAAAATGAATAAACAGAAGATTAACAAGGTTTATAATATATATAAATTCCAACTTACTATCATGATAGCTTATCTTTGTTTCAATGCTAGCTCGTGGAGAGTTAGAAGCCAATGCCATTTTCACTCCATGTCCTCTTAAATGTTTAACCAAACGATATGCACCTGGTAGTGCTTTAAGTTTGCACCATCTAATAATTAGAATAATAAAAAAACTAGATTAGTATTTAGTCTAAATAAGTCAAACTTAAAAGGAAAGAGTGAGGCTATTAGTTATTACTGATCAGAGAACATTGGAGAAATTTCTGATAGCAAGTCTTCTTTAGATAAAGGAAGCTCATAATCCTCCACAATAGCAGCTGCAGCTTCTATAGGTGTTTTCCCTATAATCTTATGAGCCTCTCTACCATCCCATTTCTTCTCATACTTCACCAAATAAACTTTCAAAACTTCACTCACAATGCCATCTGTCAATATAGAGCTTTTCAACTTCCATCAACATATATGCATCACAAAGCAAACAAGGTAATAAATCACCTACTTTCATAGAAGCTTACCTGTATTTACAAGAGTTCCATCCAAGTCAAGGATCACACATGAAACCAGTTTCCTTAGGGAATTCATCATCCAGTTTGTTGTTAGAATCAGAACTCTTCCAGCAGATTTTAGACTTGCATTTACAAACTTCTGCAATACCAATAGAGCTTAGTTTAGATGTGTGTGAAACTTTAAGCAGGTTACAAGAAAAAAGAAAGCATAAAAGGGAATGGATCAATTGTGATTCAAACAGTTTATGAAAAATTGTACAGTATCATCATACTGAAACTGGTTCTAAAGAATCATATATTTGAGTCCATTTATAATGCAAACATAATCAATCTAAGAAGTAAAAAGAGGTACTTCGAGTTCATGCCTGCACAATTTGCATTCAGGCATTTCATCAAACATCTGTTTCTCATGATATCAGGTATGAAGATTACCAAAAAAAAAAAAGGAACAAACTGAAATCGATCAATTATTTGCAAGATAATCAAAATTTAAATGTTCAATCTAGATATGAAGTAATACGTACCTTCAAATTGAAACTAGTTTGCAAATTGACAACAAAGAACTACGACCGACATATCTGCTGCATAAAGTTTCAGATAAAACGATTATAGCAAATTGATGACAAACGGCGGCGGAAACATCAGTCGCCGGACTAGACGACGGTCACGACGGCGAATTGTTTGTGGTTTTGTTCGACTGATAAATCAAAGCGCTATCAGAGAGAACATCCGCGGCTAGTTTTGTAGCACTAAATAACCAAAGAGTTTTCTATGTTTTCATTTTTAGCCCTTTAAGTTTTATTTTTCAACCTTTTCATTTTTTATCTTAGAAATATTTTTATATCAAAAAATATATAAACTACAATAAAATAATAAACATGAAAATAACTAAAGAAACATTATAAATTATAAGATTAATAAATTAAATAATAAATTACCATTAAATTACAAGATAGATTAAAGATACAATTACTAAAGTATTTAACAAGATATATAATTGACATGGCATGGATCTTGATAATTTGAATATATACATATTTTTATTATGTATCGAATATTATAGATTTGATATGGCATGAATCTTGCTATTACACTATTATAAATCATGAATACTTTTAAAATCTCAGATATTATATTTTAGTAAGGATTGTTAGTTATTTTTATTTTTTTAATAAAGTTTGTTATATTTTGGGTTAATTAATAGCCTGCTATGTGTTAATCCTATGTTGATAACTTCTATATGTGCACTCTTCGTTTTGTTAATTTTATTATTTTTTTCATCATCTTTAATATCTATTTTAGATTGTGAAGTTAAATCGTTAAACAATATACATTTATCAATATCTTTTACCCATGTTCTTTTTATTCACAAATTGTGTACATTCATTTATTTATTAACTATTCGCTTATTTATATACTAACATTTAGGGTCGGTCCAAAGTAGGGATGAGAATTTGGCCCGAAAACCCGAACCGAATTAAGCCCGAATAAGCAATTTGATTTGGTTTTCGGGTATCTATAATTTAGGGGTGAGCAAAAACCGAACAGCAAACCGAAAAAACCGCATAAACCGAAACCGAAATAAAAACCGACGGTGCGGTTTTTAGTTTTGCAAAAACCGAAAATGTTCGGTGCGGTGCGGTTTCTAGTCTTGCAAAAATCGCAAAAAACCGAATCGAACCGTATATATATATTATATATATATATATATATATATATATATATATAGATATATATATATATATATATATATATATATATATATATATATATATGTTAAGTGTTGATATTTGTAAGAACGAAGAATTCGTGACAGTTAAAATTTCTATAAATATAAATATTTATCTTATTAGAGGATGATTATATATTTTTAAGCATACATTTAGTGATATTTATAAGAACAAATAATACTTATGACATTTTTTAACATTTAAATATGAAGTGTAGTATCGATGATAGTATCATTTTTTATGAATAAATTAATTGATATTATCTCATGTAAATGTGAAACAAATATTATATTTAATTTGTATTATATTCAAGCATTAGAAACATGTTGGATGAATGGTTGTCATTTGATTTCAAACCAAGAGGTGGTGGTATCATAGAAAGCGAACCGCAAAAAACCCAAAGGCAAAACAAAAACAAAAAAATAAAATAAAATAAAAACTGACAAAAAACCGCAAAAAAAACGAACCGCAAAAAACCGCAAAAAAAATCGGAAAAACCGAACCGCTTAAAAACCGAACGGTATGGTTTCTAAACTTCAAAAAACCAAAGTTGCGGTTTTCGGTTCGGTTTTAGGCAAAAACCGCACCGAACCGCACCATGCTCACCCCTAATCTATATGAGGCTTATTCGGTCTGGGTTATCCGAATAAGAGCTTATTCGCGCCAAAAGGACCGAACCGAATTTGAAAAGTCACAATTTTTATTTTCTGTTTCAGCATGTTTGTAAATTTTTAGCCAACTTTCAAGTGTCATAACGTCTTCATTATTTGTCCGATTAACCTGATATACTTTCCAGATTAGGACTTGTACTCGTGGCTATATAAGTTATGTATTGTACTCTTTGTAATTTCAAAATAGAAACCATTACTCCTTATAGCTACTATCAGTACCAAACTTTAAAAAATCAATGTAATCGGTTCTCACCATTAGACGTACCATCGAAGCTGGGTCTAAGAAAATTGGCCGATAACTTGTCTATGCTATATACTAAATATTACAGCCAAATCACAATAATGATGTGGTGAGCAATTTATTTGGTTTTCTGTAGCTACCATATTAGATGCTACATTTTAATTATCATTTTCCTAGCAACAATAAATTACTGTTATTTTCTTATAAATTCTTTAATAATAAAAGGAATTTTAATTGACCAACAAACTATTTTACTTTAGTCATAAAATTTCAGAATTAATATGTTACTATTTTGATACATAATTGCATTCACCTCTTAGAATGATATAACGAATAATAAAATTACATCTTATAGTGAATGATTTCATTGATCAATTTCTCCAGGACTACATTAAATTGATTCTTCAAACTCAACTCATTTCCCTGTTCACTGACAATGGAGGTGAATACCTTAAAACTCATGACATCTCTCACTACCCCACACCGCCTTACACCCCATAACAGAATAGTATTTCAGAACGACGTCACCGACACATCGTCGAAACCAGACTGTCTCTGCTTCACCATGCCAAGCTACCACTACATTACTGGTCTCATGCCTTCCAAACAACCTCCTACCTCATAAATCGTTTTCCTACTACCACTCTCAATCACAAAAGTCCTTATGAAGCCTTATTCAACCAAACACCTAATTACTCAAAACTCAAGCCCTTTGTGTAACACCCATAAAATTTGAGTCAAATTAAAACATTTTAATTCATTCAAAAACCATTAAGTTCATACACCTTGTTTTCAAAATAGTTTAAACATCAGAGTATCCCCCAGAACCATATCACATAAATCATAAAACATGAGGAGCGGTACGATCACACCTTCGCCTTGCTACGATCTCCTGAAGTACCTGAAACAATACACTGAACTGTAAGCCCGAAAGCTTAGTGAGTTACCCCCAAAATACCAACCACACATAAACATACTCATAACATATCACAAATGGAACAGCCACGCACATAGGGTCTACTGTGTGACTGGTCCGCCCGCACCGGGCCTTCAGTCCACCTGGTCCACCCTCCGAGTCTAGCCATGTACATCGAGTCTACAGTGTGATTAGAATTTGGATTCAGTAAGTACATCAACCTCAAGTTTCAACTCATTTCAATGTCACAATATGCAAATGCATACATATTACATACTAACACACCCTTCTGCTTCTTTATCTGCAGTACGCATTAGGTTGCTTTATGTTCAATTAACTTAAGTAACCCATTGGCATTTTTCCTAACAATTATCTATATCTTTATGGTCAAACTTTTAATAATACCACTGATTGTTATTTTGTTTTTGCGGGATGGAAAGATTGAAGCTGAATTTAAAAACTTACTGGAATTTTGAGCTTAGGAACATTACTGGACTATATGCACCGGTTCACCAACATTTTCTTGTTGCTAGAATGGATATGGCAGTTGATTGTAAGCCTAGAGAAGCATACAAAATAGATGACGAATCAAACTTTTTTATCTAGTATAAAAAATTACATTGTTTACATATATGATATTATATGATACAAGTTTCTTTTGTAGGTTGTTGAAGTTGATGTTAAAGTTGAAGAACCAGGAAAAGACAATGTTTATAGTTTGTTACTTTTGTTGTTTTTGCTGTTACTTTTGCCTGTTTTTATTATTGATGGTTTGCTTTTATGAATTACTATTTTAGTCTTCTGTTGCTATTTTATAGTTTTTAGTTTGTTGTTGGCTCTTGCTATTGTGTTATTTAAAAGTGGGAAATGTTTTTATTAGCTTGTTATTTAAAAGATGATATTTTTGTAAATGTTTTGGCATGTATAAAATAACAAGTTTTAATAGGTTAATTTACATAATTTACATGTCATGTATAAAATAACAAGTTTTAATATGTTAATTTACATAATTTACATGGAATGTATAAAATAACAAGTTTTAATATTCAAGAAGCCGGCTACCCGGAACCGGAACCGGTTCCGGCGGTTCCGGGAGCGGTTCCGATTTTCTAGGAACCGGTGTAGGCGGTTCTGGTTCCAATTCCAAAAACTTAAGAACCGCTGGTTCCGGGAGCGGTTCCGGTTCCGACTAAAATAGGCGGGTACCCGGTTATGCTCATCCCTAGGTTAGACCCATACGAGAGCTGCGCAATAGGGTCAAATCAATTACTCTGAGATTATTTAATCCAACTGCAAGTGACCTAACACTACCTAAGCAATCAGTTACCCATCCATACCTGAAATCCCAAAACGCTAATACTACCACGCATATCTGGGTGCTGGCCTCCTCTTCAGTCTATTTCAACCGGATATTGTCGTGCATATCTGGGTGCTCGACCTACCCCTTCGGTCTAACCCGACCGGATATTTCCCGAAACACTGGAACTGTCTGAAACAACATGCTGCCAGTCATCTGAATTACCTGGTTTCGGCCCGGTTGCTGAGCCAAAATGCTCCCACACAGTCGTCCCCACACGACTTTCGAACGAACTCCTCGGCTGGTAATAGCTACCCGAGCCCTATCAGCACCAAACCCGGTGCTAAGCTGAACGCTATAAAACCAACTGTGATCTTACCTCATACCCGATTTCTCATGACCTATCAACCCGTGATTCTAACCACGTTGTGGCCCTTCCACAATCTTGCAAACAATTCGCCTTGGTCTAAATCGTCTGAAGAAATTCGTGAGCAAGTCACGGGTTCACTGAAGTCTCATCGCTGCACCGAAATCGGTGAATGCTACGGCTACACCCGCAGTCCTTCAACACTCCCCACACTAACTCAATCGCTGACCATGGTATTACTGCCGATTACCAATCCGCACATATCCAAAGTCGAGCATCCACATGGTCTAATGTCCTAAACTGATGTAACGACGTAATTTTTCAAACCATTTTTTTTTCATTTTTAAGTCACATAAAACTCATATATTATATTTCATAAAAATCATAAGTGTCTCAAAGTCAACATAAATCCACAACAAAAGTCAAATCCCAGAATCCTCAACATAATCTCGAACAGGTGTGTACAATCATGTCGGTGCCTTCCCGCGATCCTCTGGAGTACCTGAAACACATAACACGTAACACGGTAAGCAGAAAGCTTAGTGAGTTTCCCAAAATACCACATAAAACACATTAGCCACAGTACCCAAATAAACACAATAGACCCTCTGGTCACACATAGATACCACTCTAGGTAAAGTATGGTGAGGAGACTCACCTCGTAAGCTAGCTAGTAAATCTCGTGCTCGAAATCCTCGATCTAGCCTCTGCCTAACATA